TTATTATATTAGTATTTCAAAAGGCATGAGTGCTACTCTTCTTAAAAATTGTGAACATTTAACATCATTTAAAAAAATCTGAAAAATCTCACTATTATGAGTTCAAATCATAATCAAACAGATTTTGCAACAAAATAAGATACTAGGGTCAGGGGATAGACCTAATGACAGCCTACTCCATGGAACCATTGATCTATTATTCTTTGAAGAGATACAAGAAGGCAAATGTGGGGGCAACAGGTGATGAGGAAGTTAAGGGGGCTGGATTCCACATGACTGACAGTGTGGTTCAAGTCCTGCATCTAGTGGTTTGAAAAACATGCTGGTCATGCATGCATACATGACCAGAATCTGAGAGGAGAATGGAGAAGGAAAAGTAGTGAGGTCATCCCTTCTAGGAGGTGATTTCTCTCTCCCTCTCTCTTTCTCTCTCTCTCTTTCTCTCTCTGATTAATTCTCTCTCTGCCACCAAGTACATGCCTCCTATAGCAAACAAACAAATAAACAAAAAGCAAACGTGAGAAGGCCTTGAATAAGTGCTATGATTATAGATGAAACAGAGATGTGCAGTAAGGAGTAGTTGAATAGAATTTTGAAGAAGCTTGTTCAACAAACAATAGAAAAAATAGGGTCTTGGCAAAATCAAGCACTTGTTAAGGCTGAATTTTTTCTGAAGAATTGTTAAGTGAAGTTCAAGAAAGTTACAACTTGGGACCATCTAGTAATAGTTACCTCACTGGACTCTCACATAGCTGAGGTGATTCAAGTCCTGGACCTAGCAGCTTAAAAGTCACACCAGGCATGTGTGCATGCATGCCTAAAATCCAAGAGATTGTGGTGTGGCCATACCTCTTGAGGGATGATTTCTTGCTTTTAGTCTCTATGTCTCTAATGAGCACATACACCCTATAGCAAAATTCTCTGTCTCAAATAAAAAAGTTAGAACTCGCTCTTTCCCACATACACAAACATTGTATTATTTAATAACTGGAGAATATGTAAGTTAAAACAGTCACATTTATGTGAGAATTTATCTCTTACTTCCCCTCACTCCCACCAATCCAGAAAAATATAGTAATGAAAGCAGTGAAGTTACTTTTGGGCTGGCTTCAGAAGGACACAGAAGAGGTCCTATAAGATTTGAAGTCATTTGAAACATGAGGTAGGTCTCATACTTACAGCCCATAATTTCGTTCAGCTCTACCAGAGCATTTTTCTTAGAAAAGTCTCCCTTTGCCACTACCTAGAGAAATCTTTCTGCAACAGTCAAAGTGTATAATTCCTAGCAACTTGATAATTAGAGAAGACACTTAGATTTCTTAAATGCACTGGGGATATAACTGAGATGAAGATGGAATTGCTAAAGTAGAAGAAAGAGAGCTAGAATGAGGGGAAGACCAGAGACAATTTTCCTAACTTCACATATTTTGTTTGTTTACATAGGTGTTTTGAGAAAGGTAGAGTGGAAGTTGTTTTTTTCACTCTCATTGCAAATATGAGACATTAAGTTGTTTAGGTAAACTAGGTCATAGTGAGGGTAGGGAAGAATTTTACTGGCATGTGGATAGTATAATCTATATATGATAGGAATGAGGAGCATGAATGGAGTAGTGTTGGGAGAATGACCCACCTTTTCCTTTGAGAATAGAATGTATCTCACCAAGAGAAGGTAAAAGAAAGTAGTCTCAGGGGACTTTTTAAAATTATTATTGGAGAATTTTTTGCTATAGGGCACATGCACTCACCAGAGAGACAGAGAGACAGAAAGTGAGTAATCACCCTCCCCGCCCAGAAGGGATGGCCATGCCACAATCCCTTCTCCTCCATCCTCCTCTAGGGATCTTGGGCATGCATGCACACACACCCAGTTTAAGCCATCAGGTCCAGGACTCAAACCATGGTCAACTACATGGGAGTCCAGCGACATAGCTATTATGCCAACTGTTGGTCCCTCAGGGAACTTTTATTCATGTGCATAAGGACACTAAAAAAGGCCCTTAAATCTATCAGTTAGCTGCAAGAAATGAGTGAGTACACATTTGACTTTTGGAGGCAGAAAATTTTTATATAATTACAGAGATAATATTTATTATTAAAATGCATATTAAAAATTATGGCTGTAAATAAATTCCAAATGCATCATTTTCACAGTATCTGGGGAGTAAAATTAAAAAGTTAAAATAAAATAAAGTTGCACAAGAGTTCCACTGAAGGACACTTTCAGATCAAGGTAGCTTCATCTGTTGTTCCCAGTGCAAATGGCTCTTCTTTATGGAATTACCAGTTAATAAAAGTAGCTGCTTAACTGAATGACAGAAAAACTTATAAATCATTAGAATATAATAATAACAGTAATGACAATAATAATAATATGGAAACTACCCATATTTAAATTTCTTATTGTAATAATTATGTGTGCATTTCAGAATAAAAATTCAAACAGTTTTATACGGGACATGTGAGGTTATTTATTTGAATTGTACATTATCACAGTTGAGAGTATTTACTCTTTGCCTACCAATTTTATGCAACACAGAGAATGACAAATGAGATATATGTAGAGAATATTTTCCAAGGAACTGAGATCAGAGAGGAGGCTGCTGTTTGGATAGTAGATGTAACAGTACTAAACTTCTAGTGCAGACTTTCTGGAAATAAGGTCCAGAGTTGGAAGGGAGAAAGGCAAAATAAAAAAAGAAAATAAAGAAGATATCTAAGAAATGGATAGCCATGTTTATGGATATGATTCTTAGAGTTTAGTATCCCTATTATGACTAGCAAAGTAGGTGGTCACTTACTTTATGTAATATGAAAGGCACTGCTGTAAAACTTTCTTCAAACTATTTTCCATCACAGCTTGTCTACCTCAATGTCTATAATTCTTCTATTGAAAATCACAACATTGGGTTAATGCCTAGTCCTCAAGCCTGTAATTAAGACATCCCTAAGTAAATTAATATTAAACTAACATTAGTTATTAGCACCTTAGTGTGATGGAGTTGATCAGATTACTGCCTAGACGAGCAATAAGGCAGAGCAGAAGATAAAACACATTGATGGGGTAGGTTGTAGATAAAGGAAATCAGAACACTGGATACAAACCTAGATGGGCAGGCATACGGAGTGTAGTGGTCTTACGTACACAGTGTAAGAACACTGAACACTTGTCCTCTCCCTGAATGATACAAATAGGCTGCATAACAAATGAGCTCTATTCTCAACCATTCCTCTAAGAAGGTCATAACCACCTGAAAATATTTCCCCTTCTCATTAAAAAAATAGATATATTTAAAGTGAAACTAATATGTGAATAAAAGTAAATTAATAGTTTCCCAAAGTGACCCTAAGTCATATAATTTACACTAATCTAGAAAACAGTAAGCACAGAGTATGGACAAGACTCTTTCATTACAAGTACCCATGATTGGTTCACAATTCCACAAAATTATTACTTATAATACCATTATAACACAAAATTACAGTCAAACACAAATCACTTTAACTCAAACACACCAGACACAGTTACAGTTACCCTATAAAAAACACTTTAACACCCATGTAAAAACTTAACACTCATGTAAAACTCATTTAAACCTTCAAAACATGTACCTTACAATGAATAATTAGGAGATACATAGATACACTATTGCTAGCAGCACAAAGTCAGTTTTCTAATAAGTTTTTTAAATAACAAAGTAGAAGCAAAATCAACAGTGAAAATTTTAGAAAACTTTCTGTTAATCTTAGAGTTCATTTGGATTTCACCAGTTTTTCCCCTAAACATATTAGTATCATAACTGTGTGCCAAAAACTATCCCTTCTTCTTAATGTGATTAAGTCCTTGACTGGTTTCTATGTTCCTTCTGGAGAAGTAGAATGTGTTTTCATTATATAGCACACAGAGTTTAAGTAGAGCATTTTTAAAAGTTAGAGCTTTCTATTAAAACATATTTCAAAATATTATAATATGCATGACTTCAGGTTTAATTACTATTTATATCCTAGATCTGTTTCCTACATGATAGTACCAAACTATCAGGTAGTAGGCAGGCCTTATAACGGGCTCCAAAGGCTGCCAAAACTAGATGTCTGCACTTTTCTCAAAAGGTGAAAGATATAACTTCCCCAGCTACTGGGGGATTAGCTATGAAGGATTGAAAATGGTATGGCTAAAGCCAAGCTGGATCAGAAAATTCAAAGTAGATTTTATGACCCATGTGACTGCCTCTAAAACCTACTCTGACTTGTGTATATGGTTTGACAGTCACCGCCTAGCTTAAAGTCAGAAGTACAATGTGGTGACAATTTTAAGAGGTGTACCCAATTTTGTTTCATGTTTTCATTCCATCCTAAGCTTTGTGATTAATTAGTGCATTGCTTCTTCTATAAGTTAAGGATGTTCAGAACCTGACAGTTACCTCAGTGTCACTCAGAGTATGGTGGAAATTCCTCTGCTAGTCAGGTTCATATGTTTCCTGAGATGTTCTTTGGAAATAGTTTAAGAGAGCCAGAATTAATCATTACTTACCTGCTTTCTTCTGGGCCTAGAGGCCACTTGGGTAACCTTATATGAACTTTGGTAAATTACCTTCCCTAGGTAGATTCAATATGGCATCTTATACACAGAGTATTATTGTATGTGAATTTGTGTTTTGTTCTTAGCTTAAATATACCAAGAAGTTGAGTTCAGATTTTCATTCTATGAACAGATATGACAGATGATATTTCACATTGACACAGACATGAAGAAAATTGTTATTCTTCAAATTCTGGAATGTAATCATGCCTAGTAGATAAAAATTTATGTTGGGGCCAGCAGGTGACAAAGCGGTTAAGGCACCGGATTCCCACATGGCCAACCACAGGATAAGTCCCAGACCTGGTAGCTTGAAACTCATGCCAGGTGCATGTGCATATGCATATGTGCTCAAAATTGTGAGACGAGAATGGAGAAGAAGTTATTGTGGCATGACCATACCCTCTGGGGGGTGATTTTTCATTTTCTCTCTTGCTATCTTTCTGTCTCTCTGGTTAGTACACATGCCCGATAGCAAAAATCTCTCTAAAAAAAAAGTTCTTATGTTTATACAATTTTGTTCAGAAAGATAAATAAATTGTCCACTTTACTTAAAATACAACCAAAAATATGATATTGGATTGTAAACTGTGATTACTAGTATAAATAGACAACTACATTTCCTCTGAATACAGAGATTCGGTGCCTGTTAGAACAGTGCTTATGGAGGCCCCAAGCTAATAATAACCTCCTTGTACTTTAGGTTCACAGGTAAAACTACTGACTCTAGTTGAAAACACATGTTTATAAGGTATAGCTGAAATTTTATAGGTTAAGTCTTAAAGACTTTATGACAAATTTCTACATGGGAATGGCAACATCAGTTATAGTGTAGCATAATGCTACAAATAGGTCCTGTCATGAATATGTGAATCCCCCATATTGGTAAGATAACTGAAACACTGAGTGCTTCCTGAGTACTTTCTCATGACTCAAGGTATTACAAAAGTCTTATTTTGTACTTGAATTTAGGGCCACATTCAAATTTTTATAATTATTATTTAGCATAAATCAGTTGCCATGGTAGAAATGGTATGGTTACTCACAAAGGATTTTGTATGGAGTTGGATACTATCATGCAAGTCTTGTCTTGAAAGCCGTCTTCTGAACTCATTAGTGGTGAAGTAGTATATGACTGGGTCAAGGCAGGAATTCAGACTAGCAAGACAAAGGGCCACAGAATGAAATATTAGAATCACCTTTCGGGCTAGGCAGCTTTTAATTTCATTGGATTTGACCAGAAAATCTAAAGGAAAACTGAAGTGATAAGGTGCAAAGCAAATTAGAAATACCCCTGCACAGGTTAGAATCATCTTCAAGGCTTTCTTCTTCTCCCCAACAGCCTGAGCCACAGGATATTCATCTTCAAGGCTTTCTTCTTCTCCCCAACATCTTGAGCCACAGGAAAATTATCTTTCAGTGACAAAACTGTCTTCCATGTACAATATAGGACAATCAGTAGGGGAGTAACAAACCCAATCAACTCGCCAATAGTCATCATGGCAACAGACTGGGCCAGATTGACATTCCTGGTAGGAAGATCCACGAAACATTTGGTTTTGTTGCCTGAAGTGTCATCACTGGTTCTGAGGAGAGGGAAGAGTAGACAGGCAAGGCAGATGATCAACCATCCCCCAATGCTGATGTATAGGTCATATTTCTGTTTGCAGTCATGGAACCGAAAGGGATACATGAGAAACCAAAATCGCCGCACACTGATGCAGACCAAGAAGAAGATGCTTGCATACATGTTGACATATTTCAGGTAGAAACAGAACATGCAGAGGCCAGTCCCAAATGGCCAGTCATGATTCAAGTAGTAAAAGATTCTCAGTGGCAGGGAAAGAACTTGTAGTAAATCAGCAATGGCTAAATTTATCATAAATATCACAGCCCGTTTGGTTTCTTTCACATAACCATAAAATACCCACAAAGCTAGTATGTTCCCTATGAGACCTGGCACAAGAATGACAGTATATGTCACAGCATAGATAAAATACCGAAAATCTGTATTATCTCCATCTGTCCTGATACATGTGTCATTAGCAGGCATGATTCTTTCCAGAGAAATCTTATTTGCCTAATAGTATCTCAGAACTTAAATTCACAGTGAGCTGCTGTTCTTCCTACTGTCGTCCATGGAGTGAAGAGACTGAATGTAAAATAATCTTAGCACATTTATCTGGGCTTCTACATGTTATTTATGGACTTTTCAAAGATCTGTCTTCATGTTTGCTTTGGATTTGTCTACAGCATCTACATGGAAGTCTTATGTACAAGAACAGATGACAAGCTATTCTACTTGTTCTCACTACTTTGTTATAAGTTCTTCTCGGACTTCATGACAGTTGATTCTCTTTCATCTGAATGATGAATGCGCCATATAGAAGCTCTTCAAATTCCAGAATGATGGCCATTTCTTTACAGGTGTTTGGAAGGCTAATTTTTTCTTTTATTGACTCACATAGAAGAAAGTTTCTCATTAGTGCACAGTGGGTCCGCCATTCATCAGTGATTAATGTGAACTGATCAAATTTCTAGGACTTTTTCAGCTATGTATCAAAAGCTGAAAGTGGAAAACAAAGGCAGAGCTGTAAGTAAAAGAAAATAAACCAATTATTGTCTGGCACACTTTTGAAAAAAGAAAAGTCTATGTATAGAAGAATTTTTTATTTGTATAGAATATTTTGGTGTAGGTGAAGGTGATATGCTATAGTTACTACAAGGCACTTTAAAATCCTAGGAAAGCATACTCAGGAGGAAGTAATCTAGCCCCTTGTTACTTAAAATCCATGAACCAACGTCACTTGGTAGCTGATTATAAATTCAGAAGAATCTCAGGTCCCACTAGGGACTTGCTGAGTCAGAATATGCATTTTAAGAATTATCCCAGATTATTTTTCTACATATTAACATTTGAGACTCTTCAATAAAGACCATTGCTTCACAAAGCTCATTGATTGAGAGAGTCATCTGGGGAAGTTTTGTTTATTTGTTTTTGTTTTTTGTTTTGTTTTGTTTTGTTTTGAAATACATCTTTCTGGGTGTTTCCTCCAGAGATTCCGATTTAGTATGTTTGGGGTAGAGTCCAAAACTTGTATTTTCTAAAAGCTTCCCATATGATTCTGATATAATCAATCCATCATTTATCCTTGAACCATCATTTGGGGGCCACTGATTTGATCCAAATCCTTCCCAGATGTCTAAAAACAAGTGAGAAATCAACCTCCATTTATATGAGTCATTTAGTTACTTCTTAATTACCCAAGACAACAGATCATAGCACTAAAATAGAGAACCCACATCTCTAGGAAGCTGACTCAGATGGGTCTATGACCCTTCTTCTGAGGTAAACAAATTTTAGTTTAGGGACCTGGATAGTTGTCTCAAGGCTGCTGAAATCTAGGAGGACTTAACTGACTTTAAAGATATGTGGGAAGAATCAAAATGAAATAGTAATTACAAAATGTCTGGCTTTGGATTACCAAACCAATGTGAATTATCAGACCCACGTGGTTTAAAGTATGTTTGATTCAGCCTCTAAGGAAATTGCTATTATTATTTTGCTTCAACTGCTTAGCAAGTAAAATAGCATTCTTGATTCAAAAGTATGGTGCTCACTTTATTTAAGAGGCTTGATGAGTGAAATGAACTATGCATTCAAGTTGAAGAGACTAAATACTTGTGATTTATAGATACAAAAGATAAAGAAAGCTGATGTTATATGATGTTATAAAATACAGTTAAGCAAGACTGTAAAGAATAACACTGATAGTAAAAAAGTTGTCAAAATTAAAATAATTCATTTTCCAGATTGAAATACATTTTTGAAACATTTTCATAAGTAGTTATTTTGATTAGGTGACTCGTAAAATTAGGTTATGGAAAACAAATATATGAAAAGGTGCTCAACATCACTAATCATCCAGGAAATACAAATCAAAACCAGAATGAGACATCACCTTATACCTGTTAAAATAGTTATTATCAAAAAAGATAAAGGATAAGAAGTAAAGGTAAGAATGTGAAGAAAGATAACCCTTGTACTCTGTTGGTATAAAACATTATGAAAAACACTATGCAAATGTTTGAAAAACTAAAATTAGAACTACTGTATAACCCAGCACACCCACTTCTGATAATCCAGTCAAAAAAAATTGTAATCATTATTTCAGATATATTGGCATTCATATTCATTGTAGTATTATTTATAATAGCCAAGCTATGGGAAGAAAAATCTAAATTTCCATTGACAGATCCATGCCGAAAATGTGATGTATATATGTACAATGGAATGTCATTTAGCCATCAAAAAGAAAGAAATCTTGTCATTTGCAGCACCATGGATAAATCTGGGGGACATTATGCTAAGTGAAGTAAACCAGGCACAGGAATAAAAATACTTTATGATCTCATGTATGTGTGGAATCTAAAAAATTTGGACTCATGCAAGCTGACAGTAGGGTGGTAGTTGCCAGGGTTTGGGTGGATGGGGACATGAGGAGATGTTGGTCAAAGAATATAAACTTTTGGTTACAATATTACTAATAAGTGCAGTTCTCCTCTAGCACTACCCATGTTTCTTCTGTATTTATTTTTTCCCCATTACTCATAATTAACATACTTTATAATTTTTTATAATTTTTTCTTATTTAGGTTTTTTTTTTTTTTTTTTTTTTTTTTTTTTTTTTTAGGGGCGGGCGCCCCA